GACTGACACTGCCCAAAAAGCTTGTGGGCACTTTTGTATATTATTAACGAGTTGTGTAGGTTATTAGGAGTTCCTATTCACCAGATGATGAGACAACCATTTCAAAAGCACCCACCAATGGTTCGACAATTGGATGAATCCAGTGCATGCGGAAAATGGGAGTCTAATCAGAGTAAAGAAACAACCAAGCAAATAATAGTGAAGAATTCTACTAGCCAGTCATTCAAAATCAGGAGGCACAAATGCAAAACAACTAACAAAGTTCTAAATTTCAAAGAATAATGGAAGCGCATGCAGTGGAAATCACAATATGGGCAACAAAGATTTCTCCAAATCTATACTCTGAGCCCTCATACTTTGATCTAGTATTCACAAATTTATATAATCAATAGCAAGATCACATGCCAGCAAGGAATTTAAGAGTGTGTTTTGCATCCGCTAAAGACATGGGGAATTACTTCTGAGCTCAAAACAAAGAACAAGAAATAAGAAGACAACAAATGAGAGCAGAATGGGCAAGACAAAATGACGACTTCAACAACACAATGAACAATATGAAATATTTTTTCTGGCAATAATTCATAATTAAAAAGAATATGTAGTATTTTATATTTTCAGCAAACTTATTTAATTTATAGGAGTTAGTTAAGAGTAATAGTTACTTATAAGTACTCCTCCCCTTTTGTATCTTTTTACGTTTTCTTGAAATTAATAAACAAGTTTGCTTATGTTATTTCTTTCTGATTTACAAACAATTGTAACTGTGGCATTGAACAAATGATCCAAAAGCACCATCAGATAGAGCTTGATCACCAGGAAGGTGACTTACTAAGACACATCAAAATATGGAAACAGAATCAACAAGTTGTCACTCAATCTCCAGATACCTCAGATAGTAAGATTTGAGCCAAATACTTCCATTGTTTATCAATTTTTTTTAGTGTATCCATGCTTTACTATTTTATCAGGTTTAAACTATTTCCGATTAAATTAATCTAGTTTGATTTACACACACCGAGGCAGTTTTTTGTTTAAACTCTGAGCCTTTTAAGTTAATATGGTATATTATTAATATCCTTTGCTAATCACTTTGAACCTAAACCTTTTGTTTCGGTGACAAAACCATATATGTTAGGCAATTGACTTGAAAGATTAATTCTTTCTACCCTCTCTTTGGAGTTAGGTAAAATTATTTAAGTTTTCTTGTCATAGGAAAATGAACAAGTTTGGGAATGCTCTTGGAAGTGAGAAAAATTTATGTTTAGGGTTGGAATATTAGAGATAATGGTCAAAATATTCAAAAAACATTTTTGAGAAATATCAAGAAGTTAAAACAACTTCTTCAAAAAAAAGAAGAGAAAAAGACATAGACCACAACAAAAATGCATAAATCTCTAGTACCGGTTATAAGGAAAAGAGTTGGTATGATAATGATAGGAGAACTAGGAACCTATATCCAAAGGTTTAAACTTACTTTCCCAAAAATATCCTACCTGAACCTAAGCCAAGTTACATCCGAAAAAGTCCTCAAGGTGTGTGTGTTTTGATTTCTATGATGAATTTTGTTGGAACATGATCAAACTTAGTATAGGTAGTTCTGCATGTTGATTGAGAGATCACCCTGTCAAATGAGCGAATTATAGTGAGATGAGAGGCAGGTTGAGTACTTGCTACAAGTTGAGGAGGTTTCATTATTTTGCCGGATTGAAGTTAGAATCCAGAATGGTGATCATGTGAAAATAATTATGGTGATGTTTAATTGTTGTTGTTGTAGTTTGTGTTGCAGACAAGTTACTTGAGGACAAACAAAAAATTAAGTTTGGGTTTGCGATGACACTCTTTCATTGCATATATTCTATCGAAGAAACAGAGAAAAACTAGCCAAAGATCACTTAATTTTATGAAGAATAGCCCAAGAATGAAGCAAAATGGATAAAGTATGAAGAAATAGAGACTTGTGAAAATTTTGGCTGAAAAAGGACCAAACGCGTGTCAGCCACTGGAATAATCACGCAGGCATCGCGCGCCTTCGCGAGCGTGATCGACTTGGATAAGTTGCATTACGCACGATTCAAATTATCGTGTGCGCAATGAGCCCTCTTTCTGGGTAATTTCAGACACGTTCAGGCACTTCATGAAAAATTTAAAAAGGGGTTTTTGGCACTGTTTCAAGGGTTATGAGATTTTACACTGCAAGTACGATTTTATAATATCAGAAGGCATATTTAGAGCGCATTTGGAACCACTGGAGGCCAGTTCTTCAAGAGATCTTTTATGGAAACCTCATATAATTTATTGGTATTGTAATTTGAATTATGACTAGCTAATTTCTCATTGGTTAGATTTTGTTTGATGAATCTTTTTCAATACTATTAGGACACATGTTTGATTTGATACTGCATAATTTATTGAAGTTATTATTTTATTCAATTGCACGTTATTTTTAATGCTTTTTATGTGAGATACTCTTTTAATCTGATTTTGGGAACGTAGAGAATACTAACCATTAGTCTATGCGTTGGACCTATGGTAATTGTTGTGCTTACACCAGTTGAATATGAATAGGAGACCTCGAGTAGTGACTTAGGGATTAACGTTCTATTACATTGCCTAATCTTACTTACGCTGGTGGACTAGGAATAAGAAGCTCAAGGTATAGATTAGTAAGCTATACACCAAGGGATTGGGTATAACAGTCTTGTTAATTCACCGTGAAATAATAATAACAATATCAATTATGCAATGCATCAAACATCAACAGTAGAAAATTAGGGGATTCTATACCAAAACTTAATTGCTTTCGTATAATTGTCAAAAAACCATTATTATTTTTCGCATTAAAACTTGAAAAATCTCTCATTTAGTATTTAAGTAACTTTGGACAATATTTGTCTTGTTACATAGCATTCCTTATGGATCGATATTTTTATTACTTCGACATTGTCAGTACACTTGCTGAGAAGTCATCAGCACCTAATGCATGAATCTTCTCCCATGCCTGACCATGTACTGGAGGAAGTGCATTTAATGCACGCACCTTCTATTGTTCCAATCAAATCTAATTCACAAAAAAATTCTCAATCTGTTAAGAAGGAAATTTCTCATGTTGCTGCCCTCTGTAGGTCTAGTAGATTAAGAAATCCACCTAAGAGGTTTGTTGGTTTCTTGTTGACCTAAAACTGTGAAATCATGATTTTAGAATTTGAGGAGCCTATTACCTATATATAAGATTTGATGAGTGAAGACTCCGAAAAATGGCTTGAGGCCATGAGGTCTGAAATGGCATCCATGTCTTAAAATCAAGTATGGATCTTGGTTGATTTGCTCGACGGGGTTACACCTATTGGTTGCAAGTGGGTTTTCAAAGTGAAAACAAACAAGGATGAAAACATTTAAGTTTACAAAGAAATACTTGTTGCAAAAGGGTTCAAGTAAGTTCATGGTATTGACTATGATGTAACCTTTTCTCCGGTAGAAATTATTGCCTTCTATGACTATGTGATTTGGCAGATGAATGTCAAAACTGCTTTCTTGGGGGTTCTTGAAATATGATGTGTACATGACAAAGTCGAAGGGTTACGTGGATTTAGAAAATCCTAGAAGGGTATGTAAGCTTCAAAAGTCCATTTATGGACTGAAGAAAGCATTCCGAAGTTGGAATCTCCGTTTTGACGAGGCAATCAAACAATTTGGTTTTTTCAAAAATGGAGAAGAATATTGTGTTTACAAGAAAGAAAATGGGAGTAATGTAGTATTTTTTGTCTTATATGTGGATGACATACTTTTGATAGGAAACAACATTCCCATGCTTGAGTAAGTCAAGGGATGGTTAAAGAAATGTTTCTCTATGAAAGACCTTGGGGATGCTTAGTACATTTTGGGCATCGAGATCTATATAGATAGATCTAAGAGGATGATTGGACTTAGCCAACAAACTAATATTGATAAGATTGTTACTAAGTTCAAGATAGAAAACTCCAAGAGATGATTCCTTCCCATATAAGATGGGACATCGCTAAGTAAAACTCAATGTCCTTTCGGTGTTCATGAGATTAAGCGAATGATTAATTTTCCTTATGCATCTATAATAAGATCCATTATGTATGCCATGATCTGTACTCGTCCAGATGTTTCATATGCTTTGAGCATGTGTAGTAGATTACAATCAAATCCAGGTGACACACATTGGAGTGCAGTTAAGAATATCTTGAAGTACTTGAGAAAGATTAAGGATGATTTTTAGTATATGAAGTGAAAGTGAATTAGTTATTGAGGGGTTACATATATGCGAGCTTCTAAAATGACAAAGATGGCTTCCGATCTCAATCTAGTTTCATCTTTTGTCTAAATGGAAGAGCAGTGAGCTGGAAGGGTTCAAAGCAAAACAACGTCGCAATTTCTACAACAGAGGTTCAGTACATTGCTGCATCAGATGCAACAAAGAAAGTTGTTTAGATAAAGAAGATAATTTCAGAGCTAGGTGTAGTACCTAGTGTTACAAATAACATTTTTGTATTGTGATAACAACGGTATTATAGCTCAATCTAAGGAACCAAAATCACACCAAAGATGCAAACACGTACTTAAAAAGTTTCATCTCATTCGAAAAATTATTGAGAGAAAGGATGTAACAGTTAGTAAAATTCATACGAATAACAATGTTGTTGATCCATTGACTAAACAAACCATTCCCTGAGTAAGAGCATGGACTCCTACTAGAATTATAGGGCTTAACATATTGGTGAGTGGACTTAATTGTATACTAATGCTTTTAATTAGTTCACAATTGTAAAAATATTTGATTATGTTTTTTTTCATACGTTTATCAATAAGGTTGATTTTGTTTAATCTTGATTTAGTAAATCCTTATCTCTAGTAATTAAATCCATCTACGTCGCAGTCAAAATTGATCACCTGATAATATATATATTCTTTTTGTTCTATTAAAAGAAAAATATTAATATAAAAAAAATTTGAATAGTTCAAGCAAAAATAAAAAATTATAAGGAAATATTACCTGAAAAGAAGTTAGAAGATAGATAAATTTGTTGAAGTGAAGATAGATTCAAGATTTGTTGAGGTATGGGTCCCGAGAACTTGTTGTAACTAGTATCCAAAACTTGCAGCCGACGAAGTTGACCAATCATTGATGGAATGCTTCCTTTCATGTTATTAAATGAGCAATCAAACTCCTCTAACTTAGACAAGTTAAATAAGGAATCAGGAATAAAACCAGTAAAACTGTTAATGCCAATATACAAATGTTGAAGTTCTTGTAACTTCCCCAACTCTTTTGGAATTTCTCCAACAAACTCGTTATAGCTGAAATCAAGAACCCTCAATCGGCGCAATGAAAGTGTTTCTTTAGGAAATTGACCACCAAAACTATTGCCGCTTAGGTCGAGTATAACCAGGAACGATAGATTTCCTATGTTTGGGGAAAGAGTACCTCTAAGACCCATGTTTTTGAGATTCAAAGTTTGGACTCTGTTGTGTTTCTTATCACAAGTTACACCAACCCAACTGCATGAAGAAGACGAGGTTGACCAATTATTAGCCAGGATATCATATGGATCTAAAGTGATGAGAGATTTGAATTGTAAGAGACTGAATTCATCTGTGGTGATGTTTTTTGTGTTCATAGCTAAGCAAACCATGAAACAATAGACTGAGAGAGAAGAGAGAAAAAGGATATAGAATACTTTTCTCATTTTTCTTGGCATGAATGAGAGACGAGGCAAGAGATGGATGAGGATAAAATATAGTCACGGAAAATTTGTTTTAGTACAATTCTATTTTGATTTGCTTTAGTCATGTCTCTATTTTAATATATAATTATTCCAAAAAAAATTCAAATTCTGACAGTAAACTATAAAATATAATACTTTTTATATTTTTATTAACCAAATTCTAATGCTAAATTATGAATCAATAGACCGAAATAGATCGAAATAGACCGAGAGCGAAGAGATAAAAAGACTATAGAATAAAAAGTAAAAATAAAACTATAGAATAGATTTCCCATTTTTTCTTGTATGAGTGAGATACGAGGCAAGAGTCGTTAAAGATAGCGATGAAAAGTTTGTTTTAGTCACGTCACTATTGTAAATGTTGACACACCAGAAGGAAAAGGTTTATTACAAGGTCACGTTAGTATGGGCATGTTGGAAAATTTCTATGCGGTTTAGTATGTGTAATTAGAAAATATCTCTAACTCAACCATATTTAATATAAAAGAATTTTTTTAAAGTATAATAATAATAGTAATAATAACATAAAAGTCAAAGAAAGTGTTCCCTTCATCTCAAAATATAAGTTTTTAACGGCATAAAAGAATAATGTTAATTTGCTAAAAAAAAAAAAGAATAAAGTTAAAAGTGTAAATTTCTTTTTGTTTTTTTTAGCTCAGTTGATAATTAATAATTGGGTTAAAGATTATTGATAAAGGGTTCAAATTCTGATAGTGAATTTATTTATATTTTCTTTTAAAATATAAATAAATTATTGATATTTATAAATCTAACCACTTAAAAAAAAAAGTAAATTATATATTAAAAAATAAAGTTAATTTTTTTTTGTTCTACGTAACACTTGATGACATTTATAATTAGAGTTTTAATTTGATACGGGTCTGATTTAGGGATTTTGTGATTTTGAATGTTTAGGGAAATGATAAAAAATAATCGTTAGACATTTGATAAAGAAAGATTTTTTGTTAGAACATAGACAAAATGAATTTAGTGAGTTAATGGTGAAAAATAGTTAATTGGAGAAGATCGAGTTTAGAGAGAAAAATATAGATTATTAGAGAGAGAAAGAGTAATTGAGGAGAAACTCATAAATTGACATTAATTTATACTAAAACATATTACATGAGGGTTTATATAGGATACAACTTAAAACAACTTTGAAACCAAACTGTCTGAAAGCAGCCTAAAAATACAAAATTATCGCGCCAAAAATCGATTTTCTAAAACAGGGAAACCAGTTTCCTCAACTAATAAGCAATTTCCAGAAACTGAAACACACAGCAGAAACCAGTTTCCTCAAACTGGGAAATCGGTTTTCTCTTCAAAACTTTGAATTTTCCGCTTTTAAGAAGTGCTTTTCAAATAAGTTGTTTTGTACGAAACAGACTTAGAAGCTTCCATAATGCATTTGAATTATATCCAACATTCGTATAACCGAGTAACTCGCAATTTCTGCCCGTATCCGCTGCGAGAAAGAGAATTTCACAGCCAAGAGTTCCTTTGATGTATCTTAGGATCCTCTTAACTGCTGCCAAATGAGAAAACTTTACTTTCTCCATGAATCTACTTGCAATACCGACACTAAACGCCAAATCTGGTCGCGTATTGCACAAGTAACGCAATGATCCAATGAACTTAATATATTGAGTTGGATCCACACCTTACTCATCTTCACTTTTGGGCAGCTGCAATCTTGCTTCAGCCATTGTTATGGCAGCATTACAATGCTCCATATCACACTTTTCAAAATCTCAAGAGCATACTTTCTTTGATGCATAAGTAGCTCCAATTTTGACTTATGTAACTCTATGCCAAGAAAGTAAGTCATGATTCCAAGGTCGCTCATTTCAAACTCTTCCATTAGCTCACTCTCGAACTTAGAAATATTCACTTCATTGTTGCCCGTAATCAATAAGTCGTCCAAAGCAAAGTATAATCACTTCTTCGCTTGCATCCGTCTTCACATAAACACCATGTTTAAATACACATTTCTTGAAGTCAACCTCAACTAGAAATGCATCTATACGTTTGTTCTAAGCTCTAGGTGCTTGTTTCAAACCATATAATGCCTTCTTCAATCTGTAGACTCTTCCCTCTTGATTCTTCATCACAAAACCAGGGGGCTGCTCTACATAGACTTCCTTCTAAGTGGACCATTCAAAAATGCATATTTTATATCCATTTGATACATTGACCAATTCTTGCTATTCACAATACCAACAACCAGCCGTATAGTTTCCAATCTAGCCACAGGTGCAAACACCTCATCATAGTCTATACCTTCTCTTTACAAAAATCCCTTCGCTACTAGTCGAGCCTTATGCTTGACAATTTCGCCTTTTGGTTTTACCTTCATTGTATAGACCCATCTCACACCGATTGGCTTTTTCCGTTCAGGTAAATCGACCAGCTCCCAAGTACTATTTTTCTCAATCGATTCCAGCTCCTCTTTCATCGCACACACCCACTTTGAATTTCTTAATGCCTCCTATGTGCTCATGGGCTCGGATTCGGCCATCAGCGTAAAGTGAATAAGATCACCATAATCATGATCTTCTTGCTACTCACATCAAATAACTTGTAGCCTTTGATAGGATGATAACCAACTAGCAATGTTATCTCTCCTTTGTCATCCAACTTCTTTCAAAGCTGACCTGGAATATGTCGGAATGCTACCGAACCGAAAACCTTCAAATGAATCAAACTTGGTTTATGACTAGACCATAGCTCTTCTGGTGTCACTTTGTCCAGCTTCTTATTAGGGCACCTATTCAACAAATAGGCGACTATAGATACGGCTTCACCCCATAGTTCCTTCGACAAGCTTTTTCCCTTCAACATGCTATAAATCATATTCATTATCAAACGATTTCTTCTCTCGCTAACACCATTTTTCTGAAGCGTATAAGGCGGTACAACCTCACACACTATACCCTTAACATCACAATAATTCCTAAACTCACTCGAGGTATACTCGCCCCTACCATCTATTTTGAGAATTTTTAACTTGTGACCACGTTGCTGCTCTGCCATGAATTTAAAATGTTTGAACACATCAAACACTTCATCTTTCCTCTTGATTAGATAAATTCATAGCTTTCTACTAAAATCGTCAATAAAAGTGACAAAGTACCTATTTCTACCATACGATTCGACTTGCATTGGACCACAAACATCATAGTACACCACCTCAAGATGATGTTTGGTCCGATGACCTACATCCTTGCTGAAACTATTCTTGTATTGCTTCCCTTGAACACACTCTTCACAAATCTCAGCTAGAATATTGATCTTGGGCAGCCCGGTCACCATACCATTCCTTTATAACGCATCGAGGTCTCGAAAATTGAGATGTCCAAGAGGTTAATTCCACAACCACTCATAATGACTTGCCGTTGTAGCAAGAAACTTGTGCTCCATCACTTTCATCTCTATCGTGAAAGTACAATTTACAACCATGGATGCTCTAAGAATTAAGACTCCATTTTGGTCCAAAACACGCAAAATCTTGTTTTCCATACGAACTATGTAATTATTTTCAAATAATTGGCCAATGCTCAAGAGATTACATTTAATTCCAGGAATATATAACATATCTTTGATCAAGGAGTGACTCCCATCCTTCTTCATGATCAAAACATTACCCACACCATCAGCCGCTAAAGTTGTGTCATCTGCGAATATTACTTTATTCTTTGTAGATTGATTGATTTTGAAAAACCAATCCTTTCTACCAGTCATATGCGTTGAACAACTAGAATCCAAGTACCACTCATCACTTCCTTGTACTCCATCTCGAATGGTTACCATTGCGTTTCGCTCCGAACGTGTTTTTGCATAATTTTATGCACTACAGACAATGTTGCCCAGCTTTTGAGAGCTGCTACTGCTGTTGTCCAACACCTTTTCCATGCCATAATTCTCCTCCATGATCATGACTAGAAGCGTGTTATCATCACCCACCTCTTGTCTAGATATCTTAGCTTTATCAACTTGATTTTCCTTCGATTTCACATTACATTCTCTTGCGAAATGCCCAAGTTTGTGACAATTGTAACACTTTACACCACTCTTGTTAATCTTTTTGGTGTAGTTAGCTTGACCACCACCTTTAGATATGCTCTCTCCCATTTTCACCATCGAAGCCTTTGAATTTTGTGACTCTTTACCACCAAAATTATGAGAATTTTTCTTCCCTTTTAAAGACCATTTTCCTTTCGATCTCTTGTTCTTCTCATTGAACCATACTTGTAACGCAATCTCCTATTTTTCCTTGTCATTTACTCTTTCATCCATCCTTTGTTCATGAGCATCTAATGAGCTTTGAAGCTCCTCATTTCTCATTGTGAGAATATCCTTTGATTCTTCTATTGCAACCACTATGTTGTCAAATCTTGGTGTTAAAAAACGCAAGATCTTTGCTACCATATTTTGCAACATTACAGGTTCACCAAAAAGACTTCATTCGATTCACCAAACGTATTATACGCGCAATGTAATCATTTACCGATTCATTCTCTTACATTTGCACTAATTTGAACTGCCTCTTGTAAGTTTGTAACCTCACAACCTTTTCTTTATTGGCCCATTCATAAGCTTTCTTAAAGATCTCCCAAGCTTGCTTCACCGACGTGTAATCTTCAACCTTTTCAAAGTTATCCTTGTTGATGCAAGAATGTATCAAGAAGAATGCTTTGTAGTCTTTTTTTCTTCTCTTCCTTGAATGTAGTTTGTTATGCAACTGTAGCTTATGCCCCAAGAGGTGTGACACCATCATTAACGACTTCGAGAACTTCTTGATACCCAAACAAAAATTTCATTTGTTTGCACCATTTTGTCATAGTTCTTGGAGTCAAGAATTGGAAGGTTGGCAGGGATTCGATCATTGGAAATGGTAGATATAATTTACAGCGGGTTAATAGATCAAAACCAAGGCTCTTGATACTAGATATTAGAATATACATAAAATGAAG